TGAGTTACAACCAGCCCTTGAGAACGAATTGAGTTTGTAAGTCGGGGCCCCCTGTATTTGCAAATGATCTAAAACAAAGGCATGGCTTTATACATATGTGAGTCAAATACTGTAAAAATGCTTTCAAAGTATAAAATCAACTGGGTACACAGCTGTTACTCCAGCACTCTGGGAGGCTGAGGGAGCAGGATGCCAACTTTGAGCTTCACCTGGGCAACTTAATGACTTAGTGAGACCGGGTCTCAAAATTTTAAAAAGGGCTGGGGATGTAGCTCAGCATGAAGATCCTGGGTTCAATTCTTGTCACACACACACATATACAAAGTATAAAATAATGCTGATGAACTGACCCCTTTGTCATTCGCATACTGAGTATTAACTGTTAGGCCCATGAGGACCTGGTAATCCTAATACATAGCTACATGCCTAGAACCAGAACCAGAACCTGGCACAGTTCAAACTCACACTGATCCTCCTGCCTCAGCCTCCCAAGTGCTAAGATTACAGGCATGTGCCACCATGCCCAGGTAAATATGGAAGAGTGAATGGAACCTTCCTGTTCACAAGCCCTACAAAAGCAGTACTATGTCTTTGCTCCAGTTTTGTATTTGTGGAAGCTTTTCAAATGACATTTCTCCAGATTTCCACCCTTCTTAGAAAAGCTTCTCCATCACCTGTTCAGATAGGAAAATTTCCACGCAAGGTAATCCCCACGTCAGTGTTTGAGTCAAATTCCCATGTTTCAAATATTCCTGTAATATTCAGATAGACCTTTATTGTATTTAAGTGACTGTTGCTTTCTGGATCTGTGATTCCCAAAGAAGTTCCTCGGGGTTATTCTTTAAACTTCTCTTCTGCTGAGTGCTCCTGCCTCCCGGCATTGGCAAGCCTAATCTGACTGCTTTCTGTGGCATTCTCTGCAGAGCCACCGTGTGAATGCTAAGCATGGCCTTACCTCGCCTCACCTGCTCAGAGGCATGAGAGAGGTGAGTGGCCGGGGTGCCAGGCACCAGAGTTTGAATGTGCAGATATGGCAGGAATCAGCGCTTCTCCTCCTAGCTCTCCATGACTCATGAAATCTAATTAGTAAGGAAATGAATCCAGAAAATAAATCTGACCCAAGGGTTTCCAATCAGTGCCCTGTGAGGTCACGAGTTACATTTTAACCACCGTTTTCTTCGCTGCCACTTTCTTAGTGACCCGACTGCAGACCTCCTCTTCTCTTTTCTTTTAACTCACTTCCATAGTCTGCAACAGAGAATGCAGAGAATTTTCCTTTCCATCTGTCAGTCTGTTTGAACTGCTCTAACAATACCAGAACTGGGGGGCTTATGACCTGAGAAGTTGACCTCTCAGTCTGAGGTAGGAGGAGGACACCGGCAGCCCAAGATCCTCGTGCATGGATGGGACCACAGTGCTTTGTTCACACACGGTGGCTCTGAGGACACTTAAAAGGGCACTAATCCTTGTCCCCTCCTGAAGGCTCCACCCACATTCCCGCTCCAGTATCTCACTAGACAGAGGCCACTCTACAAAATTCCAGCTGTTTAAAAAACAAGGAAGAATGGTGACCTTTTTCTTCACTTTTTGAAGGAGTATGTGCAAAGGAAAATAATTTTTAAAAAATCAAATTACCCATAATTCCAGCAGCCAACAAAAATGAGATAGCAACTGGGATTTCTTAAAAAATAATTTTTTTTTGGCATTCTGATTCTTAAAGTAATGAAGGATATTTACTAGATACCTATGTCAGTTCTCTGACACTCATTTAATATGCCCTTTAATGTAGGGAACACGAGAAGTGTGGCTGTCACTGCTGCCTTTCAAAATGCCATTGCAAATTTCTATCAATGCAAGATGACAAAAAGGGATGACTTATTTAAAGGTAAGTACCAGAGAATGTGAGGTATAACGAATGGAAGAAGCTATTGGAAGTAATGAAAACATGTAATAAGATGCCCACATGTAATGTCAAAATCAATTGCTTTCCTTTAAATTAACAGAAGTGTTCATAAAAAGAAGCTCCCTGGTAGGCGTACACACACAAACCATGGAAGATACATGGCAGTAAGTATAACATGACATGAGCAAGACTTGTGCAGAAAAACTGTGCTAGTGAAGGACATATAGGCACCACATCCACTGTAGTCTATACTGGAAGGTTTTACATCAGTTTCTTGGTGTAAGTTAGGGAGCAGTTCATCTGAGATCTGTCCATCATCTTGGGGAAAACACATGAAGGTAAAATGAGCAGAGAGGCCTACGGCCTCTACCTTGAAGCTGGTCTTGAAGTCCTAGCTGAGTCCCAGCACCTTCTGCCCCTCATTCAGAGTCCCTGGCCTTTGTTGGCATCCCTCCTGGCTGGGTGACTTACCTGGGGAGGAAGCCCAGACCCTCAGCCACGGGGTCTAAGCCTCTGGTCACCATGTGCTTCTCACCCTGTGGCTACAGCTCTGATCCATTATCCTCGAAACCTGGTAAGAGAACAGCAAGAAAAGCTCTGGGGGAAATGTCTTTTCATGTCAGAAAGTGAGACTGCATACAAGGGAAAACCCCAACCAGTGGAAGAATGTCAAAGGGACTCAGAAGTCAAGTGAGAGAGATCAATGGCCAACTTAGAACAATTTGAGATAGATGTTAGAAAGATAAGTAAATAGGATGATAGATCAGTATTGGATCATTTCCTGAAGTATGAAATAAGGATTGAGTCCATACTGATTTAAATAAATGTCTGAATAAAACTTAAGATGGGGCAAGAAGACAAATCTGTACAGAAGATTGCAGATGATTTGTACAGATTCTTCACGCTAAAAGAGGTACAGCGTAATTCCCTGCCCCTTAAGAGGTAACTGATGGTGACTTCCTCCTAAAGACTGATGTTCAGAAATGAGAAAGGGTCACTTGGTAGTGCAGAGATGTGACAGATGCCAGGTGAAGGTCAGCCTTCATGGATGAAGTTGATAGCATGGACCCTGGACACAATGTATCAGAAGTGGCTCTTGACCTCAGCAGTCTGCCTTCCCTAAGCCCCCAAATCCAGCTGGACTGTGAGATAAACATCGGACTAAGGGAATTTGGGGGCATTTGACAAAATGCACGATCAGTGTTTCTCAAAATTGCCAAGGTCATCAAAATCAGGAGCCTGTGGAGATGGTAATGACCAAGTCTGACATGGGATCCTGGGACCGAAAGATATGAATAAAAGGTAAGGAAACCTCAAGTGTGAAGTTAGTAACAGTGTAGCAACATGGGGTCCTTAATTTTAACTAGTGAACAATACTAATGTGATATTGATAGTAGGGGAAACTGAATATGGGGCATGTGTACTATCTCTGCACTTTCTTCGAGCTCTTCTAAAATAGTTTATTGGTCTAAAATAGCCAGGCATGGAGGCTCATCCCTGTAATCGCAGCACTTTGGAAGGCTGAGTCATGCAGATTGCTAGTTGAAGCCCAGCCTGGGCAACTTAGTGAATTAGACCACCTCAAAATAGAAAATAAAGGGCTGAGGATGCAGCTCAGTGCAAGGCCCTGGCTGGGTTTAGTCCCTGGTACCAAGGGGAAAAATAAAGGGCCCAGTCCAAAATAGCAGGTTGCAAAAAGATATAATTTCTGTTAGGCACCCACATAGCGAACTCATTTCAAGAAAAAATGCCAGTGTGTGTGTATTTCTACTCCCTATATAAACACACACGCATAACTGATGTCCACCTGCAGGGCTATGCTGTCCAGTATTAGCAGTCACGGGTGGCTAGTAAATGAATGCTAAACAAAAATAGCGTTTCTCAATCATATTGAAAAATACTGTCCACATGTTAAGTGCTCAGTGAGTGTGGTTATCATACTGGAAGCACAGATGCAGAATATTTTCACCACTGTACAAATCCCACTGGACAGTGCTGCTGTGAGATGTACATGTGCTTTGTCACCGTGCCGACGCGGCACCTGGGAAGAGATAGCACAAACTAACACCTCTGGGGAGGGCAGGCGTCACCTCCCCGTTTGCAGGGGAGCTAGGCAAGTGCTCCCCACTGAGCTATAGTCTGGCCTCCTTTTCATTCTGCATTCTTCTGTGCTGTTTCACTTTTATTCTGTCTGTATCATTCCATTTTTATGACCATATACCTTTATTACTTTTATAGTTTGAAGTTTTTCATTTTAGTTTTAAAAATACTTTCCGTTAAACCCAGTGTGGTGGTACATGGCTGTAATCCCAACAACTCAGGAGGCTGAGGCAGGCGCACCATTGTGAGTTTGACTAGCTAGGCTACGTAGTGAGTTCACGGCCAGTCTGAACTACATAGTGAGACCCTGTCTCAAGAATATATATATATATATTTTGCATTTAAAAATGGTGTATAAGAGGGCCGGAGATTTAGCTTAGTGGTGCTGTACCTGCCTCACAAGCGCAAGGTCCTGAGTTTGATCCCCAGTTCCAGAAAAAAAAAAAAAAAAGAAAAAGGAAAAAAATGATGTATAAGATGTCCTTTAATTTTCCACATGTCCATTAGAGACAGTACTTAATAAACTTACAGCTGAAATCCTATTCAAAATCTTTAGCATTTGATAATTATGATATTAACATGAATCATTTTCCTGAACTGTATCTTGAATTAAAAGAATACATAAGGAAAATAACTTATTCTTGCCTCAATTCTTAAAATAATTGTACCTCATTTAAACAACATGGATCTTCCCCTTCACCCTCTTTTCTGTCATTTTCAATTATCCTCCCCAACACCTCAAAGGGAAAGTTTATTTTTCGGTGGATGGGTGGTTTTAGACAGGTATGCATGTGTGAATGCGTTGCTTTCTCTCTGCAGGGCTGGGGAATCACACTCGGGGCCTTGAGGGCAGGCACTAGGCCTGTGCTCTCCCACCCAGCTACACTCCAACCCTGCATTCCTTGTCTTTTAAAATGCTAGGAGAATCACTGGGCTGAATATGTTCTTTGGTGGATTTTAACCATCCATCAAATAAACACACACAATACCCCCCAACGTGGAAAAACAATGTATTAATTTATTTCCAAGGGGCAGGGGAACAGAACATCACCAAAACAAAGATCGATATAGTAGTTTCAGGGCATCCCAAAGACGCCACTCTTCCAGAGATGACGCACAGACATGTAAACATCTTCTGCTCCAGAAAAATTTCTCATGCTACATGAGAAAGATCCAGTGTAAAACATTTTTCTTCCCAGGGGCCACCATTCAAAAGATTAGTGAAAAGAAACAACTGCTCAGACTTCACCCCTGGCCTACAGCACATTCTCTTACCCTTCATCCCTTTCCTGCTCCGTGCAATTTCACTTTTTTCAGTAGCAGGAAAAATGTCTTACATCAAAGCCATTCCCTTGGGCCGGGGATTTAGCTCAGTGGTTTCGCTGCCTGCTGTGCAAGCGCAAGGACCAGAGTTCGATCCCCGGTACCAAAAAAAAAAAAGTCATTCCCTTTACATATGATTAACATTCAACAGGTACAATTATAGAAAAAATAACATTGTGTTAATTAAATGCATCATCAGTTTTGCTATGTGCTTTTCTTTATAATAAATAAATAGGGACTCAGGACTAGAGGAGCACTACAGTAGACTTCACATTTTTCTGAGGTGACAGGACTTTTTCTCAACATTAACACTGAGCCCATTCTTAAAATCTACCTCCTCTGGTATATTAAATATGGCTTTATTTCACCTTCTCTCATACTCCACCTCAGGAAATGAACTGAGAAGATCAGTAAGAGAATCCCAATTCTCAGGCAGAGTCAGTTCCCTGATGCACGTTAACCTCTCTCAGCCTCAGTGGCTTCATCTGCGAAATGGGTGGATCACGAGAACCCTGGGAGACTGATGCCAGGTTTGAATGAGAGGAGGAAGAGGAAGCCAGCGGAACAGCTAGAATGCAGCAGGTGGGAGGGAGCTTCTGTCCCATCTCTGCTGCTCCCTTCTGGACAATCTGACGTAGCGCTCAACGGGTAATAACCCATCTCCTTTGTCTGGTATCACAATATATGATCACACTAGGAATGTGCTCAACACAACCATTTTGTAAGACTCTCCACAGCAGGTTATCGAGTGTTAACATGATTCCCAAGAGTTGTGCTGTGTGTGTGTGTGGTCCTGGAGAGCAGACTCAGTCAGGGCATCCTCCCGTTTCGGCCTCCCAACTAGTGAGGATTACAGGCATGTGTTGCCGCACCCAGCTTTATTTCCACGAGTTTGGGAGTGAAAGCTTCCGTCTCATGTTCCTTCTTGTCTCGGCACGTATCTAGAGGATCCGAGGCCCTCACAGATGTACTGGATGCGGGCAGAATGAATGAATGGGGGACCAGTGACCTTATAGTGCCCGCCCATAATGGGCAGCTCTTCGGAGGGGTGGTATTCTCAGCACCGGGCGCCATGAAGCTGCGCCAGCAACCCCGAGCTGCTGTAAACCCTTGTAGGTGGGATCTGGTCTCTGTTTTGCCAGGAGAATAACACTGGGGGAGGAGTCGGAGAAGTTGTTCGCTCCGAGGTGTCCCTGACTCCAGGCTGGCTGTGTGTGGAGCCGACTGACAGGATACCTTCATCCTTGTGAGGATTTCTCAGCTTTTTTGATGGGAAGCGTGGTAGAGAATCAGAGCTCTGTGGCATTCGGCAGAGAACTGTTTTGCATCGCTGGGGGCCTTTCCTTGCAGCAGCAGGCAGTGGCTCCTGTCTCTTGTCAGTGGTTTCCTTGCACACACAGCTTCCGACACAGCACGTGCTGCGTGAGTGCTGAACTTGGGAACGACATCTGCCCTGTGGGAGGGAAATCGGCCTCTGCTGTGTCCTCAAAGACCCCTTGTGCAGAGGAACTCAATTCTTATTTTCCCACACAGCGTCATCAACCATTCTCTCTTCTCTCGGGCGTCTTTCTGTGGGGAGCATCTTGTGCAATGATCTGACGACATTTCATTTATCACCGATCAGCACAACAGCCTAACACAGAGATGGGCATCAGAAACTGGCCAAAGCACCAGGATCGCGCTACGCAGCTATCTTGTTAGCTTAGCATCCTTCACAGTGTCCAGTGGCTGTTTTGGGTCTAATTATGTCACCAGGTCCTGGAGCCAGCACACCATTGCTGTGGTCTTGAAACCCTGAGCATCGCCAGGGCGAAAGTCTCCAGCCAAGCTAGGCTCCTCCTGCCAACTGGGGTCTCCCCAGATCAGAAGTACCAGCTGGGCTGGATGGCAGTTTCGCTCTGATTCAGGGCTCTCTCCCGGAGCCTCAGCTCCAGGCACTCCACGGTGAGGGGGTAAGTATTCAGCTCAAACTTGTTAGCAAACAGGCTGGGCGAATCCATCAGCCACTTCAAGTCTCCATTTCCATAGATACAGATACCATGTACATAGTGGCCTATAAGGGAGGGAAGAAAAGCGCAGTCAGAACACGCTGTTTTTGGAAGACGGGACTGCAGGGGACTGTTCCGGGTGCTCCGAGACTCAAGTGGAATAAGGTTGTCATCCCAGCCCCAAGGAACTTAAATGCTTCCTTGGAGGAAAAGAGGTGCAATTATGTGGTTGAATAAGATCAGAGTTAAGTAATACAAGGAAGCCAGGTGTGGTGGCCCATGCCTGTGATCCCAGTACTTTGGAGGCTGAAGCAGGAAGATTGCCATGAGTTCAAGGACAGCCTGAACTACATAGCGAGACCCTGTCTCCACAAAGTAATAATAGCAACTACAGCAGTAACACAAGGACATAGCATAATAGGCGTCACCAGGAAATCCATGGGTCAGTGAGTGAGAATCACGAGGAGTCCTGTGCCTCCCCTCAGATGTGCGATCTTCCACTTTTCCCTGCGAGCCTGCAGCCTCCCTGTCCTCCCGGCAGTCTTTGAGACTCCCAGACTCCGAGACTCAGCTCTTCAGTGCCCCAGGCGATTCTGTCTGCGCAGCTTTTAAACTGTGCTGTGGACAGAATCTGACCCCTTCTCCCCACCTCCCTCCCCACCCTGGTCCAAGCCACCTCTGCCTCGCCTCGGGGTCTGACTCACACCATCGGCCCTGCTAGTCCAGGCTGGGCACCACAGCCTGGCAGATGGTTTTCGGATAGTAATGGGGCTCCTCTCCTCCTCTCCAGAGGCTAACAACGGGATCTACGGCGCCTGGGACCTGGTGCTTTCACTGTCTTGCTGGGCCCGCCTCTCCCCGTGCTTCCCCCAAGCTCTCTCTCATTTTGGCCCTGGCTTCCGGCCTGTTCTGAGGACCCCGCTCTAGCTCCTGACTGCCTAGGAGTCCGGCACCCCAGGGCTCCCTCGGGCACAACCACCGTCTCTGCTCGGAGGCTGCCTTCTTCTAGGCCTCCTCTGACTGCCTTGTGCTCTTCCCTAGTTCATTTCTCTTTGGGTATTTGTATCAGTGCTGCACAGGAAAATATTATTTTGTTCATTGTATCTATCTGTCTCCATCTGCCTGTCTCTCTTTCTCTAGACAACTGTTCTTTCCTTTGCTGTCAGACTCGACTATAATCCCCGAGCTAGGATTTCAGAGCATTTTGCTCACATCTGCATTCTCTGCATCTGGCGCTTTGGCAGGTCAGTACTATGCTTAAGTTAACAACTGGTGAATAAGAGAATGGGGAAGGATGGGCAGAGAATCCATGGACTGGTAGAATAGGGAGACATCAGGGAGAAGGAGTGTTTTGGATAGAGTGAAGGAAAAAGTGCAGAGGTGAGAGTTTGCTGCTGGGATAAAGAATATGGCGTGGGTTGGGTTAGAAACAAACATGGCAGGAAGTTAGAACTCTGCCCAGAGGGGAACAAAGGGTTCAACCTCTTATCTTTTGGATGTGGAGAACCTTTGGGGATTTTTGAACAGAAGAGTCAAATGATAAAACTGATTTTAACTGATCAGATCTGCAGTACTTTGCAGGATCCAAATCCAGGAGACTGCAGTATTAACACAACATAACCCAGATGGGGGAAGACATTCGCTTTTCTGAGTCACTGCACTGCCTACAGTGCTCTGCCACCTATGGGTTCTTTTTCTTTTCCCTGCACAGTGGTTTGGAGGGAAATTTCTGTGCCCTTAAACATAAGCTTTCAAACACTTACTGGCATAGCGGGTAACCAAGGAAGAAGGGGGGCGGGGGAAGAGGGAAGAGGCAGGCTTGGGCTACTCAGGCCTTAGGTAGGTTCCCGGCAAGGGCCAACTCCCATGACCCCCATCTGTCAAGTGATCCGTCAGGGTCCCCACAAAAACACAGGCCTGCGTAGCCCATGGCTCCTCCTCTACTGGGGTAGGGCCTAGACATGGAGGCTACAGGAAGTTTCTCCTGGTGGGACGGACGCTCCTCAGGGCACTGGTTGATGGTGAAGTGTGAGGCACAAGAGACAGGCGGGGTGGAATGGGGAGTTGTGGAGAAGTGGAAAGTTGGAAGTTTTCACTAGAAACAGGGGTGCAAAGAAGACAAATGAGTGAAGCCCCAGGTTGAAGAGTGGGAGCAAAGCTCTTTCACCATAGGCAGAGATGACGAAACTGCCATGTTCTTATTCATTCATTCATTCACCGAGTAGATGTTTATTGCATGTTGTTATGGGCTCAGTTGTGTGCCCCTCCAAATTCTTAAGTTGAGTCCTAAGGCCCAGTACCTCAGAGCGGAGGGTGGGTCATTACAGTGGTAATTAACATAAAATGAGCCCATTAGGCTGAGTCCTTATAAGAGGAAGTGGAAAGGCATAGACAGTGGAAAGACCTTGGGAGGACCTGGGGAGAAGATGGCCATTTGCCATTCAGAGGTGAAGCTTTAGAAAGAACCAGCTCTGCTGTTGCCTGGCCGTGGCCTTCCAGCCTCCAGAACTTGGAGAACACTGATTTCCTGTCTGCTCCGTTGTCATGACAGCTCCAGCAGCCTAATGCACAGCCCATGCCCACTGTGTGCCAGGCAACACTAGAAGTGGAAAGAGTGCCAGGACCGCGACAAGTCCTACTTCTGTAGTCTACAGACACGGAAATGTCCCAGGGCTTCCAGATCTTGCCCATTTGGATGAGACCCCTCTCTCTTTAGCGTCACCTGCCACTGTGGCACACACCCACAGCTCTCCAAGCCTGTCTCGAGGGGGAGCAGAAGCTGGCGTGAGGGACAAGGACTCGCTTGCTTTGTAGGGAAAACAAGACCTCTCTCTCCTAACAGCTCCACTCCCAAAAGGAGTATCGGAGTAAAGAAGGAGAGAGAGGAAACTAGCCAGAAGGAAGTGTGATTATAATTTTAGATGACTTCTGTGCGTGTCCCTAGGTAATCCTAAGGTGGAGAATGCCTATGAGATATTTAAACTTGTTGTCAAGAGATTGTGCCTTGAAGCCTCTGTCCTCTCTGTTTAGCAACTATTGTGTTTCCCTGAAAATAAAACCTGGCTAGAAAATAATCAGCCCTGAAAACTAGAGATCAAAAGTACCAGCCCCTGGGCCGGGGATTTAGCTCAGTGGTTCCACCGCCTGCCTCGCAAGCGCAAGGTCCCGAGTTCGATCCCCAGTACCAAAAAAAGAAAAAAGCCCCAAGCAGCCTATCCTCGCCTCCCTCGCCTTACAGAGTAGCCACCAAGCAAGAGAATAGTGGTGGCAGGTAAAGGAAGGACAGGCTGAATGAAAACTAGAGATCAAAATGGCCAGCCCCAAAGTTGATTACTTTCCAGCTAGGTCTTGTTTTCAGGAAGAGAGGGTAGTGGGCTGGTTTAAACGCAGCTACCGTTCTCTCTGACACTCCCATGTAGAACAGCTACTCTCAGACCAACACCAGAGAGTGGTATGGCCTAAATGCATGAAATAAATGCCTCACCATGGCAGCCTCCATGTTTATCTTCCATGTCAATCCACTTTACAGCTCGAAGGTTTCCGGTCCAGGACGCATTGGGCATAGAACCAGGGACACCTGCAGTATTGATAAAGAAGAGATGAGATCTTTGACAAAGGAGCCAAACACCTTCACTGGAAGAAGGGGCCTCTTTAATAACTAGTGCTGGAAAAACTGGCTTTCCACATGCAAAGATTGAAACTAGACCCATATCTTTCACCACGCACTAACCTAAAAGTGAAATGGATCAAAGATCTAAATATTAAAACAAACACTAAATCTGCTAGAAGAGAGAATAAGTAGAATGTTTGAGGACACAGGAGTAGGCAAACACTTCATGAGTAAAACCCTGACTGCACAGGAAATACTACAAAGAATCAACAACTGGGATCTCATCTTATCAAAAAGCTTTTGCACACACCAAGAGAAACCAACAGAGTTAAGAGACAACCCACAGCTTGGGAAAAAAATTTACCAGCTATTCAGATAAAGTACTATTATCTAGAATATATAAAGAACTAAAAAAACCTCACCCCCCCCAATTTAAAGACCCAATGCAAAAATGGGCATCTGAAATAAAAAGACACTTCTCAGATAAAGAATTAGAAATGGTAAATACATATATGAAAAAATGTTCAACATCACTGGTCATTTGAGAGGTGCAAATTAAAACAATGCTGAGGGCCAGGGATTTAGCTCAGTGGTTTCGCTGCCTGCTATGCAAGCGTAAGGACCCGAGTTTGATCCCCGGTACCAAAAAAAAAACCAACAATGCTGAGATTCCATCTCCCTCCAGAAAGAATGGCTGCTATCAAGAAATCAACTAATAAATGCTGGAAGGGCTGTGGGGGAAAAAGGAACCCTTCTCCTCTGTAGAGTGGTGCAAACACTAGGAGTCAGTGTGGAGATTCCTCAAAAAACTAATTTGACTCAACTATACCTCTTCTTGGTATCTTCCCAAAAGAATTAAAAGCATCATACCACCACTATATATGCAAACCCATGTTCACAGCAGCACAGTTTGTAATAGCTAAATCTTGGAAACAGCCCAAATGCCCATGAACTGACGTGGGTAAAGAAGATGTGGTTTTTTAATACAATGGAGTACTACTCTGTCATAAAGAAGGGTGAGCTTCAGACATTTATAGCTAAATGTATGAACCTTGTGACCATACTCTTAAGTGAAATAAATCGGACACACATGTTTATATACCACATTGTTTCTCTGGTATGAGAAACTGAATGTGGGAAATAAGTACTGAGATGTATAATGGATGTTGGGAAATGGGAAGAAAGTGTTCAAATGGGAAGGGAAAAGGGAAGAGGGAGGGAGAAAGGAAAGAAAGAGATAAGAAAAAAAGTGAAAATAGAAGGAAAAATGGAAACAAAGCTTTTGTACATAGGGAGGGAAGGGGACTTGGGGGGAATGGGATAAAATAAAATTTATTAATTAAAAAAAGAGAGCGATGAGAATCAGGACATGAATACAATGGCTCCATCCAGGAAGTCTGAAAATCATGCTTTTCTTTCTCTTTCTTCTTTTGCTTTTCTTTTCCTTTTACATTTCACACAGATTCACGTGCACTGGTCCATTTTTGTTTCCTCCAATTGATCTCTTTTTTTTGAGATAGGGTCATGCTGTGTTACCCAGGTTAGACAGGAACTCCTGGGCTCTAGTGATCAGCCTCCGAGGAGCTTGAATGACAGGTATGTGCCACCATACCAAGCTCCAACTGATCTTTTGGTCAAAAATTATTTGCTGATTCATTACCTTAATAATATAACATCTGATTCAATCAATATATGAATCCAATTCTAATCAGCATACTAATATCAAATCACTAATTAGCTATTAGTGTATAAAGAGTTAACCCCCAAAACAAAAAAAAGATGGGAGGGGTGCCTTCAGGTGCCATTTCCAAATGAGGATCTCTCTACCACTGAAGCTTTGGTGTGGGCAATTCTGTGTGGTGGGGCTGTCGTGTATACCTTAGGGTAGTAAGCAGCACTTCCCGGCCTCTACCTACTACATACTGATAACACTACCCCACCCCCACCCCCGGCACCGTGACAACCAGAATCCCAGCAGACACTACCACATGGGGAGGGGAACAAAATCACTCCATCTGAGAGAGACAGGGCTAAGCCGTCTCAAATAACCCTCTCCAGCTTGATGAATTTTTGATAGGTCACAGAGGTTAAGCTCCAGTTAATCATACCAGATAGTTTTCTGTTTTGTATTATCTGTTTGTAGTACTAGGGGTTGAACTCAGGGCATTAGCATTTGGCCGCATCCAGAGCCCTTTTTGAATTTTATATTTTGAGGACTGAATTTCTCTAAGTTACTAAATTGCTCCAGGCTGGGCTCAAGCTTGTGATTCTCCTGTTTCAGCCTCCCAGAGTGCTGAGATTGCAGGCAAGGGCCTGGCCATACAGGGTAGTTATAACAAGATGGTGACAAAACTCATTACTGCAAAGGAGCGCTTTATATGGAAGTATCAGTGCAACTGAAAAAGGAGTCCTTTGCCTCACAAGAGCTGCCGCCCCTTTCCCCAGTGAGTAATGGAATCGGAACCTAACTGAGGTAACAACAGTTCACACATGTTTAGACTCAAATTGCAACAGTCCTCTTTGGAAAGATTCTTCTTAAATACTATACTTCTTAAGTACATACTATGGAAGGCAGAATACCACCCCCCTTTGTGGACAGAGATGACTTCATCCCAATTCCTGGAACCTGAGAATATGCCACGCAGGGTGCAGGGGAATGGAAGCTACTAATCTGCTGGCCTCCAAATAGGGAGAATAACCTGAATTAGAATTGGGGGTTCAGTGTAATTCCAAGGGCCTGTGTCAGACTCCTAACCTCAGCACTAAGACAACTTAAGATGTTTAAGTTTGTGATAGAGTGGACCCTTGACTTACGAACTAAATTCATTCTCAAAGGCTGGTTGTAATTCAGGTTGGTCAATTGAGGCTCAGGCTCCTCTACACAGCCTTCAAAGTCTCTCCCCTGTACACAGGCAGATCTCAGGGTCCTTAGAGAGACACCGGCCCAGGATTTCTCAATTAACCCCACAGGAAACGATGCTGTCATGTTCCTTCCAGAACCATTTAAGGGTTAAATCCATATCTGAGACCATCTGGAAGCACAAGTGGCCGGCATTTGGGTCGCAACTCATTTGGTCATAAGTTAAAACTAAAATTCTGGTCGTAACCCAAGTTGTTTATATACCAGGCCAGTCATAACTCAAGGGTCCACTGTAATTTGTTAAAGGGGCAAAAAATAAAAGCTAATTCACACGGGTGAGAAAAAAATTACTTAAGATGTGGGTACTTTTTCAATAAGAAAGGAAATCTGGACAAGACCAACACTTTGAAAAGAATGAAAAGGTACTGGAATTTAGAACTTTCCCTCTTTAAAAACATTAGTAAAACCATATGCATCTTCAGAAGAGAAATAGCTCTGTTCTTTTGCCTTGTGGTCACATGATAATTATATGATGATCTAAATCTGGAATTGTACCCGCGTTTCCCAACTAAAATTAAATTTTACCACAGTCTTTCCTATAAATAGCAGGGATCTTTAACCCCAACTCTGTATGGCAACACAGTCTTTCCTTGTTTTTGCTGCACAAACTTGATAGTCAAGAAAAGTATTCAGCAAAAACACTTTATTAAGTAATGTAACTTCCTATTGCTTTACTTGCATACTTGGAACATTATTTTAGCACCTGCCTATCTAAAAAGAAGCTTCCTTACTCTTAATGGGTATTAAAAAAAAGAATTTAGATTAATATTTGTCTTGGTTAAGTTGGGGTCAGGGGAGAAGATCTAGAAAGGGAAGAGAATTTGGTTTATTTTACTCATATGAAGACCAGCTGACGTGTGTGGCATTTATGAATCTATTTAAATTACTACCTCAGAAGAGTGTGAATAAAACATTCTCATGACACACTTCTCTTAACCTTTAAGTGACTACATTTTTGAAAAGACAGTTTTCTTCCTCTTTAATTCCCCTTAATATTGATCATCACAAACTTACTTAGAAACACTTATTATTCCAGAGAAAAGATCGTGACATTAATAATAACCCCGTCTTTCAAAACACACACATCTTCTGAGTGCCTGCTAATGAAATTCCAAATCTCAACTTCTATGCTTTCTATTTGATGACTGGTCTCAAACACATCTATGTTTAAATATTAACCATGTTTGAGCATAAAAATATTACATTTATTAGCTGGGCGCAGTGGCACACAACTATGATGTCAGCACTGAGGTAGGCTGAGGCACAAGAATCTCAAATTTGAGTAACACTTGAGCAACTGTTAGGAAGACTGTCTCAGAAAATAAAAAGGGTTGAGGATGTAGCTCAGTGGTAAAGCCGCCCTCTAGTTTTATTGCTTGTACTTTACCAGAAAAAAAAAAAATGTTAAAAGTAAGAGGGAGACAGACATAAACCAAGGTCAATTCTACTGTGTTGTCTTTTTGCAAAATATCTAGCAGGGTCGGGCCGCACCCTCATTATTCCAGTAGGGATGCCAGGCTGGGACACTGGCACCACCTGGGGTGGGGGTGGGGGGTGAGAAGTACAGGACCCTGGGCCCTGCCCTCGGCCTCTGGCATCAGATGGCCAGGCCTGTGACACCAGTCCTCCCGGCCATCGGGGATGTCCCAGTCCGAGGACCTGGGGCCAGGGCTGCTGCCAGTGTAGCCTTCAGTGCGGACGCTGAGCGCGAGGAACTTGTGGGTGGTCCCACAGGCCTGGGTGCCGCTGCCTCAGTTCCCCAGAGGCCACGGTAACTTAGGGTGTCTTGATGTTCTGCTTCTCAGTATGGAAAAGTATTTTTCTGACCCTCTCAGCAAGAGCCAACCACTTTGGTCTGTCCACCACAGTTGCCTAGGTGACCATCCTCCTCCTCCCTGCACATCTGTCCCACCCGGTGGCACCGGCTCAGGGAGGAACAAACCATGCCGTGTGACTTCAGCTCGTGGTAGAGCACCCTCCTAGCTTGCACCAGGCCCCAGGTGCCAGCACCAGCACCAGCAAAAGATCACTAAAACTCCTGGAGATG